ATAGAGATAGGAATCCCCAAATAACAGATCTTTATGATGCAATTAGGGATATTGAGAGAAAGCAAATTTCATTAGAGTGAGGGGCATTTGGGTGCATGATAAGAGAGCTTTCTTTGTATTTACAATAAGCCAAGAAGAGTCAGCAAACTTGCTAATGATATTCATTAAATTATTGCAATTACTGATAGTTACTTTCCCAAAAACCATAACATTATCAGCATATAGGAGATAAGAAAGGAAAAAAAACCTTTAAATTTGAAATGTTCAAAAGCTTGAGAAAGCATCCATAGCAAAATAGAAAAGATAGGGGCTCAAAGGGCATCCTTGCCTAATCTCGATAGAAGAGGGAAAGAAGCCTTCCAACGCCGCATCCACACAAATAGAGAAATGAACATTCATAATGCAAGACTTGACTCACTCAATAAATATAGGAGGAATGCATTTTTGAACCATTCTAGCAAGAATGAATTCTCTTGAGACTGAATTGAATGCTTTCTTAATGTCAAGCTTGGCACACATAAAGTTCAATCTACTGCATTTTTTAAAAAATCTAAGAACTTCAGATGAAGGATTACATGATATGTAGATATCCTTTTGTGAATAAAGTCAGCTTGGGAGGAATTGGTAATGATAGGCATTATGTGTTTAAGCCTAGAGGCTAAAACTTTGGATATAATCTTATAAATGATATTGCATAAGGAGATAGACCTTAAATCTGATATAGATCCCACATGGCTATTTTTAGGAACTAAGGTAATGGTAGTGGCCTTGATGCTTCTAGAGATATAACCTTTAAGGAAGAAGGATTGAATAGATTTGCATAAATGAGGTCCAATGATATGCCATACATCCTTAAAGAAATGAAAATTAAATCAATCCGGCCTCAATGAGGTGTTAGAAGAGCAAAAAAAAAAATGATTTGATCTCATTAGTGGAAACCAGTTCAGTAAGGAAAAAAATGAGATGAGGGGGAACAGTGGGACCGGCCGGAAAGCTACTAAGATCTGGTGTAGGGCAGGTAGGAGGATAATAAGGTTTATGAAAATATTGAGAAATTCTTTGACTTACATTAGATAAGTTGCTAGAACTCCAATCCAGAGCCACAATAACAGAGATTCCATTGATATTTTTCCTTATTCATATTTTGGAGTATAGAAATTTGAGATCATCATCACCATTCTTAAGCCACTTAGCTTTGGCACGTTAAATAATCCATGAGGCCTAAGAGGAGGAAATCTCAACAATTTTAAATTTTAGATATTTAAGAGTGTAGTTAAGATCTGGATTATTAGGGTCAGCATCTAGTAGAGAGAGAGAGAGAGAGTAACTTTTTGCTGATTAGTAAGGTCTTTCAAAGAGTCCTCAATGGTAGAAGAAGTGTCCAAATGCTCCTTCCTAATACAGGTTTTAAACTTCTTGAGCTTGGTGCAGAAATCCACCAATGGGTTACCAATGCAAGGTTCAAAAAACACTTTAAGGAGTATATCCGAATTCTCCTTAAAATTAGTCCAAATTTTTTTGAATTGGAACTTAAGATGTTTTGAGTGATTGAGGAAGTCCTTGAGGATAATTGGAGAGTGATTCGAATAGAGAGGCTCCTTCACCAAGTAATAAGAGTTTGTAAAAACACATAGCTAGGCATCATTACACGGTCAAGCTTAATATGAATGGGGTTATCTACTTGTTGATTAAACAAAGTGTAGAAGAGGCCACTAGAAGCTAAATCATATAGCTAAGCATTAAAAATGAGAGATTGAAGTTCCCAAAGTTTACTAAATTGAAGAATGGAGTCCCCATCTTTTTCATTTTGGAATCTGTAATAGTTAAAATCACCTAAAACCATCCACAAAAAAAGAAGTAGAGCTAGCAATGTCTCTAATCTGATTCCAAAGATATGAGCAATCTTCAATGAAGTCGAAAGCATAAATCACTGAGATTTGAAAAGAAATAGAGGAGTCTGTTTGAATAAACCCATTAATCAATTGGGATGAATAGGAGGTCGGTTTGAAGGTTAGCTTTGAAGAGGATCACTTTATCCAAATCCTCCCCGATTTAGAGCAATAAAAAATATTGAAGCTACTTTCAGCATTAAAGATTTTGTGAGAAGCACAAAACCAAGGATCACTTAAAGAACTGGCATTAATCCTATTCTCTAAAAGGCTAATCATATCAAGCTTTTCTTTTTTAACAAACTGCTTATAGGTGAAGACTTTGTTTTTTTTAAGAACAATGCAATTATGCATTGAAATTTATTAAAATAAAAAGTTAAGAAACTATCCAATGCCCACAGCTTCTTCCTTTAGTAATGAAATAAAAAAGGAAGTAACCTTGTGAAGCATTAAATCTTCCCAAATAAAAGAGCTAAAGATTGCATAATTAGCACATAGATCCGCTAATTTATTGCAATTTCTATCAATACAGTTGAAGATAATATTGTTGAAACAAGAAAGATCAAAATACAAAATATTGTTACCTCTTGATTGAGACGATTGAAGGAGTTTAATGATGTTGTAATTGTCACTTTCAATAATAATACCTTTATAGAGATGCATCCAATCCTTGATGACTCCTTTGATAGCTTGGATTGCTATAAGTTCAAGTGTTGAGATGTCCCAATGAGTATAAGGATGTTCAAAAGCCAATAAGAAGCGCCCTTTGCAATCCCGAAATACACCTCCAATTCCTCCTTTGTTGGTTTTCAATAAGGTAGCATCAACATTGACTTTAATCCAGTCGAGTGGTGGGGGATGCCAATGGTTATTCAACAGCAGATGATGCTGGTTAGCAACCCATTTACTCGATTTAAGACCATGATTTGTAGTTGAGTAAGAAGCTAGACAGATAGCTTCGGATGTTATGTAAAGTGAAGAAAAATCCTTTCCTTCATGGACCAATTTGTTTCTACCTTTCCAAGAGAAGTAGATTATATTACAATATAAATTGATGGTCCAGATGTTCTGTACAGAAATCCAGTTTAGAAATTCCTCCATATAAATGAATGAAGGATATTAAAGCCATAGTTTCCCAGAATTTCAAAGCAGCTGATGAGTTTGGAACATTTGAAAATCACATGATCAACTTATTCTTTCATATTGCAGTTCCTAGGACAGCAATTGTACCTGATTAGTCTTCGGTAGCAAAGAAAATCAAAAGTTGGAATTGCTTTATTAAACAATCTCCACCAAAAGCCTTCAATACGAGGAAGTAATTTAGCTCTTTTTATCCATTTCCAATAAATATTTTGAGTTGATTCATGTAGTGAGGCTTCAAAAGCTAGTTTGGAAATGGATTTCCCATAATATTTATAAAGAAGATCAAAATTATCAGATGGAATTTCGGTATTGATAGGAGTATGACAGATTAGATCCACCAGATCTTTACCAAAGTGAGCTTTAAGTTCATTGATGTTCCAAGAATTCCGAGTAATAAATTTCTCCACATTTGTATTTTCAGGAAGTAAAGTATTAACAAATGTATGCCATTTGTTTAAACTTTAGTCTAGAATCCAAATATCTTTGAAAACATTTGTAAGTTTTCCATTAGATATTTCCCATCTCACTATTGGCTTCAGCACTATACTACCATCTTTGATGATTTTCCAAGCAGTAGATCCTGAAAAATTTTGAAATTTGCTTCAAAAAATATGACCATATTTTGGAAATAAGAATTTATGAAGTATAGAAGATTCTTTTTGATTGTATCTCCAAGCAAGTTTGGCTCATAGAGAGCTAACTTTGTCATAGCATGAATGAAGGCCTCTTCCTCCCATTTCAACCGATAAGCACAAAGTGTCCCAATTAACATAGTGTAATCCAGATACACCATTTGATTTGTTCCAAATCATGTTCCTACAAATTTGGTCTAAAAGACCAAGAATGTTTTTAGGAACCAAAGAGTGAGTACAGTGATGTATTGAGTATGTAAGAAAAACAGTTTTTGCAAGATAAATTCTCCCAATTAAGGAAATGAGTTTAGAACCCCATATATTAGACTTTTTTATGGCTTTATCAATAATGCATTGAAAGTCTTCACCAATTATTCTTCTCAAAGCAATTTTCGAACCCAGATAAGAAATTTCTTTAACTGCCTTCAATTTCATAATTCTATTAATAAGTTTTTTCCTCCTTCTGCTGACTTATTTGCCATAAAGAATGCATGATTTATTTGAGTTGATGTTAAGACCCGTCCAAGAGCAGAATTTTTCCATAATTTTCTTGATCTTTTTTAACAGAAGATCTATTGGCATGGGAAAAAACTATTATATCATCAGCAAAAAGCAAGTGGGAGATAGAAGGGATATTTTTGTTAATTTGAACACCAATATCTTCACCATGGAAAGCATTCATTAGGAGTTGAACACAAAGAATAAACATGTAGGGGGATAGAGGGCATCCTTTCCGAAAGCCACATTTGGCTTCAATCCATTTAGAATAGTTGCCATTGATTAAAATAGAGAACTTTGGATTTTTGACACATTCTAGGATCAAATTGGAAATATTCTTGGGAAAACCATAGTAAAATAAAACTTTTTCCAAAGTTGGCCATCCCATTGAATCAAAGGCCTACTCCATGTCAAATTTGAAGGAGACTAACCCCTTAGACCTTTTGGAATACCCGAATTTATGGAAAATTTCGTGTGCAACCAGAATATGGTCCGACATGGATATATTTTTCAAGAAAGCTGCTTGTTTTATAGAAATGATTTTAGGTATGATAGAAGATAGTCTGTTGACTATAATTTTAGCATCTATTTTGTAAATTACATTGCAAAGACTAATTGGTCTATAGTTTGAAGGATTTTTAGGATTGGGTACCTTGGGTATGAGCACCACTATAGTATCTTTCCAATTAGAGTTCATGATACCTGATTTGAAAAATTGATTGAGAGCATTCCAAAGATCAGTCTTTACAATATCCCAGTATGCCTTGAAGAATGAATAAGTGATGCCATCGATTCCTGGAGCAGTGTAATTCCCAGATTGTATAAATACAGTTTCCAGTTAAGAGAAACTGAATTCTGTATTAAGGCTGAAAACATCGTCTTCATTCAGTTTAGTTATAGGAAAAGGCCAATTATCTAAAATGCAATTTATGTTTCTCCATTTGTTTTCAAAGAAACTAACAAAAGAGTTTTCTATTTGATGTTGATCTTCAACAATAAGACCGTTGCTGTTAAGAATAGAGTTGATGAAATTGGCATTCTTTCTAGCACTTGCAAAAGTGTGAAAGAATTTAGTGTTGCTATCTCCTTGAGTTGCCCATTTGATTTTAGCTCTTTGCCTCCACCAAGTATTTATTTTTGCTAAAGTAGAATTGTAATCTGAGATTTTAGATTTACGAATCCAGGAATCTTTTTCAGATAAAAACCCATCAATGCTTTCTCTTTTTTGTAATTCCTGGATATCACCAAGAATGGTATCTTTGGAGCTATTAAAAATTCTGAAATTTTCCTTATTCCAATAAAAAAGAGCTTTAAGTGTTTTTCTCATTTTCAGATTCAGGTTTTGGCTGTGATCTCCAATAGATTTTTTCTCCCATATTTTCTTTACCAAGGAGGAGGAAGCAGGGTTTGAGATCCAGATGTCTTCAAAACGAATTAGTTTTTTAAATTCAGCTTTACTTTCAAAGAGGTTGAGTAGAATAGGGCAATGATCAGAAGCTATTCTAGCCAAATGCTTGACTAGAATCCTATGGGGAGAACAAAGAGCCATAGAGTTGAGATAACAATGATCCAAATGTTCCAGAATTTTATCAGCTCCAGATTTATTGTTGCTCCAAGTGAATTTGGGTCCAACCCTATTCACTTCATGAAGATCATTGGAAGCCAAGAATAGATCCATTTCCCTTGAACCCAAGGCATAGAAGAATCTCTTACCACCTTTTTTGTCTTCCTTATTGAGAAGGCAATTAAAATCACCACCTATCACCATTGGTATATCATTGCAAGAATAGATTTGTAATCTTTCCCAAAGAGATCTTCTTTTGTATACATCTTTATTAGCATAAACAAAACCAATTCTCCAAATGCATTTGTTAAAAACTTCTAGATCACCAATTATGAATTGTTGATTAGTTTCCAGAATTTTAAAGGAAGAGTACAAAGATTTCCATAAAATTACGATCCCACCAGAGAGTCCTTCCGAAGGAACAAAGGAATAGTCCCAGTCTTCACCAATTAAAGTATTGATTTCTGATCTATTGAAAGAAATAGATTTTGTTTCAAGTAAAGCCAAGAATAGAACACCATTATCTTTCACAAACTCCTTGATGTATAGAGAAGCTCGTTTTTTCCAGGCTCCTCTACAGTTCCAGAAACTGATAGAAGACATCATTGTAAAATGGGGGGATGACTCCCCATTTTGTCTTTGGGTTCATTTTCAGATTTTCTACTCTTTGTAGAAATGTTGATAGGGTCTAAGTCTTTTAGTTGTTTGAGTCCTTTCTTTTTTGCATCAGAGCCATTTTCATTGGAAGAAACAACATTCATAGATAAATGATTTAGAGCAGGTAAATCAGATAAGATATTACATATGTCCGGATTTGGAATCTCACCATCTTCTAAATTATCAGCCAAAACATTGAATTTGTTAGAAATACAGGGAATGATAGGAATCAAACCTGAGTTGTTGGTTATTGAATCTTGCTTATTAAAGACATCTGGTGTTGAAATAAGAATGGAGTTTGTTTTCTGAATTTTAGATTTTTCAGGAGGGATACTGATATCTGAATTATCAGTATTTTTTATGACTTTCTTATAAATTTGAGTGGTAGATTTGCCCGCGAAACCTGAAGTTTTCTTGTTTTTCTGAAAAGTTTTGTTCCTCCTGAAATTGACGTGAATCCATGGCCCGTAAACAGTGTTGTTATCAAGAGAATTTTCTTCAGGATTTGAAACAGGAGTAGTTTTAGGAATGACAACTTCTTCAGAATTTTGATAAGTTTTCTTTTCAGGACATTTAGAATCCAGATGTCAATTAAGCCACAATTATAGCAAAAGAAAGGAAGTTTTTCATATTCGATTTTTTGATAGAATTTACCAGTACTTCCTTCAACCCATATTCCCATTGGGAGAGCTTCATCTAGTTTAATTCGAATACAAATTCTTGCGAATTCCCTCCTACTCTATTGGAACATATTGCCATCAATCATGCAAGGTTTTCCTATCAATGAAGCAATTCTACAAATGTTGATTGTGTCCCAACATTGTAGAGGTAAGTTAGGCATCCTAATCCATACCGGGCTGAGAGACCTTTCAAAGAATTTGGAGAGAACGATGGAGACCATTTGTCCAGTCCTATAATGTTGTTACAAACATACCATGGACCATTTGAGAGTACCAGATCTAAAGCTTCTTCTTCTTTGAAAGCACAAAGCACCCATCCCATTCCAAGCATAGTAAGATGAAATTTGCCATATTGAGACCATTGTCTCCTTAGCTCCATACTGATCATGTGGAATGGAAGATTATATCCAAATACTTTTATAACCAACTATTTGTTGAGTTTATTTGAATTTTCAGAGGTGAAGACTTTGTTGGGGTTATTAAAACCCCTAATATTCTAGCATGTTATTGGTGAAAGGATCATAGGGATTTAGAGGTGGATGAATTTCTATGGTGCTTGCTTCTGGTTTGTTTAGAAATTTTAGAATTGCTTGTAATTGAGGTGGTGGGTTTCTATTTTTCATTGAGTTTGGCTTGTTCGTTGAGATTGGCTAAGGAAGATAGCTCTGTAGAAGTTTACTCCATATTGGGTTCTATGAGGACATCTAATTTGTTTGGGGAGATAATATCATTAAGGGATGGGAGAAGTAGGGAAGAGTTAATGGTCTTTAGGGTAGAGTCGTCATTAGGCAGGTTGTTCAAAGTAGAGTCCTCAGTTGGCAAGTTAAGATTAGGAATGGAGGACAAAGGCATGGAAGAGGAGAGATTATTATCCGGTAAAACAACTGGCGATATTGGGTATGAGGGAGCAGAAGAGGGTAGGGATTAGAAGGGGCCAGGGATATCATAAGGGATAGGCTGAGAAGAGGGAATAATGGAGGAAGAAGAGGGAAGAGCTGAGGTTAACATGTTATGCTATTGTGAAGATGTCCCAGGTAAGTTTAGAGTTGAAGAAGGATAACCCAAAGGAGCTATGCTACGGCTCAAGCCCTTGTCCATATGGTTGCGAGCAATTCTACTGGGGTTAATTTTTTGGATTTTATTAGTGCTACATATATTATGCTATACTCACTTGTATAATATTTGTAGCACATTTTTATTGCATGAAAAATGAAATTTCAATTAAAGAAAAGTTATTTTGTTCACTGCTCCAAGAAGAGATCCACACTAATGATGAAGGGTTGTTGTATTTTATAATTTTAATTTGATGCCACATGTTTTAAAGATAAATTACTTTTAGATGATATAGATTTTAATGCCAAAAATTAGGAGGCCAAATGACAAAGTCATTTAACTTAATCAAGCATGAAACTTGATGCAATATATAATTTTAAAAATTTAAAATTAAATAAAGGACTATCCAAACTCTAATTTTTTATTCAACTTATAGTTGAAATGCACACTTAATGAAACGAGTTCAACGACACTGAGGTCTTTATATCCCATTGAAATAAATGCAAATAAAACGCTTGAAGCACCGTTGAAATTTTTTGTCGCTTTAATTGCTTGATCAAATAATCTACAGATATTGCACACTAATAATAAAAAAAATGCATCTCAACTAAAGGAATCTAAAGAGCAAAAGATCACTTAATTATGAAATCATTAAAGGGTTGCTTGAAAAATGTATGTGTTTTGAGAACTATGGTGTTTGGTAAGGTGACTTTCAAATGTAATTTAATGCATTGGTCAGTAATTCACTTTTTAGTTCATATTTGTTGTATTTGGAATCAGTTGACCTGGCCATTTTCTTAATAAATTCTCCATCATTTTCTATTGCAAGCCATTGATTATTTCCATCATTGACAGATTTGTTGCCCGCTGCTGCTAGTCGCAGGTGCTACAGTTTGCCCGTCATCAATGGCTTTCACCATTATTGGCACTAATAATGTCAACTGCCAGCACTGCACACTTTGTTGTGGCCCCCACGCTTATGCTATTACTAGCCACCACCACTGTTGATGTTGCTAGGCAACGTAAGCCATCACAGTCACCACCAATATAACACTAACTCATTTTACTTAAAATCAAACATAAAAAAAGTGATATCCAATATAGTCAAAAAATAATTTATATGAAATGCATTGAATTTACTTTATATTGCTTGTTTTCACCATTACGCCTTGCCATTAGTGCCACCATTTGCCACTATAAAAATTGTCGAACAATGTTAACCACCAGCTCCATCGCCACTTTACACTAATTTATTCACTTCAATTCAAACACAAAAAGTGATATCTTGTATTTATTTAATACTTAACCAAATAACTTAAATCAAATATACTAGATTTACTTTACACTACGGTTTTGTTTGGGACCGTTTTCTTATTGCTTCTTAAAACAACTTTCTCTAGGGTGTTTCTGATGCGAAACTCCGTAAGTTTCCATGTTTCTGTTGACTACCTCCATCTGTCCGTCTGTTTAATGGTGGTAGGTGGTGCTTCTCTTGAGAACTATACCATGCAACCTGAATAGCTCCCTCCCAAATTGACTGAGAAACACCTTATCTCGGTCAGAGACTATCAACTCTAAAATCTCATGCAATCTAGCCACCTCTTTTATGAATGTTGCAGCCACTGTAACTGCAGTGTAGGGGTGTTGTAAAGGAATGAAATGCGCATATTTACTCAGCCTGTCAACCGCCACCAAAATCACTATGAAGCTCTTAGATCATGGTAGACTATCTATGAAATCCATCAACACCTCCTCCCATACCCTGTCTGAAAGTGATAAGGGTTGAAGTAACGCTCTTGGAGCCAAAGTCATATGAGGCTCGCCTTGAGGCCTGCCTTTGCGCAATTCCAGTAAAAAACGCCTTGATGCTTACGCCTCGAGTTTTTTTTATGAGGCTTTTGCCTCAACTTGGTTGAGGCCCGCCTTGAGGCCTGCCTCGCCTCACTGGCATGAGGCTTACGCCTCACGCTATATATATTAAAACTTACATAAATCTTGAAGTAAATGCCCGACATTGGACTCTATAGGAGAGGAGGAATGGAAGAGAGCAGCTCACCATAATGATGATTCAAATGAAGAACCCCTTAGTGATGACAGTGCTTATGACTTATGGGTTTTTATGTGATATGACATTGCTATTTATTTTTGGAAATTGGAATTATATATTAATGAAAAGAATACTGGAATTTGGGAAAGATAGAATTTTGAGTTGAACTATATTTCATGTTGTCTTATTATTGAGATATTTTGATTTCACTTTATATCTTATGCTTTTTTATGTTTTATATTATTCACTCATTAGTATATAAAAAATTTATCATTTTATGTTTACACAATCTTTTGATTTTGAGGCTTACGCCTCAAAACGCCTTGAGGCTTACGCCTTGCCTCACGAATGAAAAACGCCTCAATACCCGAATACGCAATTTTAAACATTGGCACACGGTGAAGCTTTTGAAAGGACAAATCAAAAGCTTTCACCCCTAGGTCTTCCTTGGACTGTAGCAAACTAATTCTTAGAACCTATCCATAAGGATTTCAATGACGATTCCATCCTATGTATTTAGGTTCTTTAGATGACGTCATGTGTTACCTTTCCAAAAAAAGGTCGTAGGAGCAAGTCCATCCTGTCCAACCTACCTAAATCATTTCAAAATTAATTTGGGGATCGTTTCAATGTGTTGGAAGCTCTCTAGTAGAGTCTTCCCTCCCTCAAGCATGATAATTTGGAGCACCTCAAAGCTCCAAATTTTCTATTGCATGAATGATCTTAACTTAGGACTCCAAAAATCCTAGGTTCATATCTCTTTGCTTGTGGATATAAAATCTACAAGCATTCATCCATCCCTCCTATGCATGGTGGTTGGAACCTTCTCAAGCCTCCAAACACATATCATTGCATGAATTTTAGAGCTTTCGCAAGGCTAAAAAATGTCCCATCATTTGACCTAAATCATGTTTCAGGAGTTATTGCTAACTCTTCTTATATCTTGTATTTTGGGTCTCTCCAAAATCCTAAATTTCCTTTTCATTTGCTAATAACATAAAATTAACAAATGATAATTATTCCCCTTCATGTGTGATATTTTGGGAGCACCCCCAAAGCTCTAAATTATTTTACCACATGAATCACTAAGATTTTAGGACCAAATCCTAAGTAATTTCTTCATTTGTTGATAACACAAAAGTAACAAGTGAACCTCTCCCATTCGA